GGTCGAACTCCAGTTGAAGTCCCAGTCAAGGGGACAATTTACATATTAGCCTTTTAATATATAGGATATTTTAGTTTTATATTAAACATATTTTAGTTTTAGTAAAATGTCAGAAAGAATATACCGGAAATTTATATAAACAATGAAAATAGATATATCAACCTGACAATGTCCCTGTGTACATTATCTTGAACAATTTAAGAATTAACCAATCAAATGCATAGATCGGCATTAGCTGAGATATTTGCTTATCCAAGTTGGGCAAATGCCACAGAATTTAGAGCCAAAGACCTGGAATTTAGAGACAAATTCCCACCTCTACCACTCATAGGCATTGGGCAAGTTAATGTTCCTGAACCTACATTTTCATTTGTAACATGGAGATTTATTCAGAAAACAAATATTTTTGATTGTCTGCTATGTGTAGGCGTAGGTATGGAAATTGATAAAACATTGCCGTCTGGTTTACCAGATGCTTAAATTTTTTTTGACAAATGGTGATAACATTATAATCACGGGATTGTTGAGAAGTTGATGAGAAGAATGAAAGTGTTTACTAAACTATAGATTTTATGTAATTATTATTTATTATTAAATATAGTTAATGAATAAAGTGACTCATAGTTTGCTAATGGGAAGACTAAAAAAATACATTCAATAGACACCAGATAAGCTTTTTTTTCTCTATTTAATGATCCTATTCTTCCCTTTTCAATGTAATATGTTATTGATTTGTTTATTTATAACTTCCCCTCCTAATTCTGTCCTAAACAGGGATTTAAGACTTTTCCAGTGCTGTTCCACTCAGCACCATGACCAATTATGTCTATAATATAAAATCTATTATGACAGTTATTCTTCCCAGGCTCAGTTCTCTCCATATGGAATTGGGAGGTGAGGCAGACATTCCATTTTACTTGGAAGAGCCATCTGCTTTACTATTGCTGGGAGGCCAGGAAACATTCATTCAACTTCTATTGACATCTACTTACTATCCTAGGTTTGCAGCTATCATTTGAAGGGTAAAGACTCCCACCCAGGAATATTCAGTGCCCTGGGGATGTCTATACCATTTTTTTCTTGCCGTTGTATCCTCCTTGTGGTCTCTTTTAGAACATTGGCATCAAACCGATAAGTTTACAGATGGTCATCAGTGCTTCCACTAGCGAGACTTACATTTGACACCAACACAACTACCTGCTTGCTTCAAGAGATTACTTGTTACACTAATAAATTGTATTTCCTTGGGGTAGGGCATTTTGCTTTTCAACCAGTTTTTATAAAATAATACTAGCCTAAATGAACACAGGATGACACACACACAAACACAATCTTTTTATGTTCAGAGCACAGGAAAGAAAAGTTTGTTAATTGGAAAGTTCAACCATACATGAGAAAAGAGAAATAATCTTAGCTAGCTAGTGAGTTCCAATCACAGTGGTATTGAATCATGTTAAAGTAACTTAAAGGGGTTCTATACTAGGACAATATCCCTTTTTCCTTAATTATATTAAATGTGATGGATGCAATTCAGTCTGAAACCAAAAGAAAAATTGTGAGTGATTTTAAAACACATCACTTAAATAGTAGATAAATGGTTGATTTTGGTTTCATCTATAGCCTCAAGAAAGGAAAAAAAAGTATTATTAACTGAGAGCCATAGATAACACTCCTGAAAGAATGAAAGGAACTAGGTTAAATTCACAAATCACATATATAGTACTGCACTGTATGGGTGATTTAAAGGATTTTTTATGGTACTTATGATTATTGAAAATTTTCACTTTACTGATTAACTTTCAAACCTAAGATGCAGCTGTACTATCTACACTAATAAAAGAGAAACATGGTAATTGGCGTACGACCGCTACCCTTTTCATTGGCTAATCAGTGAGTATATGCAAATTAACTGTCAGCCAAGATGGCGGCCGGCAGCCAGGCACTGAAGCGAGCACGAGGCTTGCTTCCCCTGGTGGAGTGAGCTCCCACAGGGGAAGAACCACTCAGCCAGAAGCTGGGCTCACGGCTGGTGAGCACAGTGGTGATGGCAGGAGCCTCTCCTGACTCCGCGGCAGCACTAAGGAGCAGCAAGCCAAGCTATAAGGAGTGAGCAGGCGGGCGGTAAGGAGTAAGCAGGCAGGCAGTTAGGAACGAGGGGTCCTGGATTGTGAGAGGGATGTCTGACTGCCAGTTTAGGCCCGACGACATCCCCCGAGGGGTCCCAGATTGCAAGAGGGTGCAGGTGGGCTGAGGGCTCTCACCCACCGTGCACGAATTTTGTGCATTGGGCCTCTAGTTTATAAAAAGAAAGTCCTTGGTTTTTTTGCAAAGATATGGCCCTCATTGCAATAAAAAATAGTATCAGGCCCTAGCTGGTTTGGCTCAGTGGATAGAGAATAGGCCTGAATACTGAAGGGTTCCGGATTCGATTCCGGTCAGGGGCAGGTACCTCGCTTGCAGGCTCGATCCCCGGCCCTGGTCGGGGCTTGTGTGCGAGGCAACCAATCAATATTTCTCTCTCACATGATGTTTCTCTCTCTGTGTCTCTCCCCTTCCCTTCCACTCTCTCTGGAAAAATATCCTAGAGTGAGGATTAATAACAAAATAGTATCAAGTAGGAAAGTAAAAGGTACTTAGTAAAATTATAAGTAAAATAACAGAATTCTATAGATTTAAAAGAACAAAAATTAATCATACAGTTCAATACTAAAAAGAAACCTAATATATCACCAACAAGTGGTCTCCAAAGAAATTTTGGGAAACATTAGGTTGGTAAAGCCAAAGATGCTTCTTTGTGGACATATCAAAAATTCTGCTGAAGCCCTAAGTCCCTAATGCCTGTCTCGGAAGCCATGTATGCTCTAAGAGGACATTCTCTTTACACCCATTAGAGCAAATAGTATCATATTGATGAGGTAAAGCTGAGCTAATGCAGGAAAGTGCAGAGGGCTCACTGAGTGACATTGGTAAAATTTACAATTTTACTTGGGTAATATGACTTCTGAATTTTATTTTCTTCATCTGGAAAATGGCGTAATACCTTCAAGCGTTATTATAAGAATTAGATGTAAAGGATTGTTTTTAAAGGTCCTTACTACAGTGCGTGGGCTCCTAAAGAACAGACTGCTAGGATGACCACAATTACACCCGGCCTGTGCTAGGTGCGTATCTAATGACATAAATTCATTTTACCCTCTTAACCTTTAACTACTTCTAACTCAGAAAGTTTCAAGAACCATCATAGAGGAGACTGATACAGCATTCATGATAAAAACTGGCTTATTTTCTGGCCTCTAGAAGTCTGATAATGAAAACCTTGCAGAAATTTAAACAAGGAGGAAGTAAATAGACAAAAACTATACATATGCCTTTGATCAGGTATAATTTTCAGGAACTATACTTTCAAACAATAAAATCACACCAATAGAACTGTAAAAGAGATGAGCACTGCTTTTAATTTCTAATCACAAAGGACTCCTATTTCAGTGATTATCACCCAAAACGTGAGGATTCAGTGATTAGAAACACAGATCAGGGAAATGAAAACCAACTTCCCTCTCTTGCTGCCATGTTTTACGGCATCGTGGTGGGAGAATTTGAATTGCTTCTTGGAAAATGCTATGTTTCTAGTCCCACATTCGACCCCCTGACTAGAACTGCTGATGAAAGGGCAGTTTTCTTCACCGAAAGGGAAATCGTTGAGCACACAGAAATATAAGATAAAACTCGTCACAAGGTCACGACCTTGCCGTTCTGGTTGCGTGGGACATTCTCTGGGGAACTATACTATTTTGAAGTACATCCAAAAAAAGAGACCTGGGAGGGAACAAAAGGCTCTAAAGTCATTTCAGAAACAACTGACACGGACTCTTAACTGAAATATGTTAATCCCTTATTCAGTCTGAGAGAGGAATGTCCTGCACTTAATGGAATAAAAGTGTTTGATCTAGATCTCTTACCAGTTTAATCCTTCATTCATAACATTTCCCCTTATTTAAAGAAGGGGACTGACCCAGAGAACAAGTCAGAAGGGCATGGGGAGAATGCCCGCTGCCCCCTTCCAAACACACACTGAGCACCATGTGCCAGGCACTGAGAATAAGCCCTCCCAGGGCTGTGTTTGTATTCACCTTTGGACCTCAGCTCCCAGCAATCACAGTGTAGGGATCACTTTCTCCTGAATAAAAACCCAGGTAGCACATAGACTGCCACCTGCCATTCCCTCCTCCCCCACCTTTAAATCAGGTTTTTGTAAAATCTGCATTTTCAGTGAAGAAACATACAAAGGTGTTTAAATGACTATTCTTTCATCTATGCTATCCCATTCATTAGCTCCATTTTAGAAACAAGGAAAATGAGATTCTTCTCTGATGAAAGAACTTCCACCAAGAACCCAGGAGACAGGAATTTACTGAGTGGCTTACGATGTGTCAGGATTTTCCTTAGTGATAGTGAACAAAACAGAGGTCTGTCTCCCAAAGGTTTTTGGCATAAGCATTCAGAAAATGTTTGGAGGTGATCGGACGGTATTTGTTTATAGGGAAGAAAAGTTAACAGCATTGTTTTAGGCACTGGCAGGTTGAAGATGCCAATTAGGCATCCAAATGCTGAGAAGTAGGAGTTGGAGAGAAGTCTGGAATGTAGGGATATCTGGGCCGGGCTGAAAGCTGCCAAGCATTAGCATATAGATAATACTTAAAGCTAGGACACTGCATAAGGTTTTCTAGGGGGGAAAAAAGTGTAGATGAAGACGTGGCTAAGGGCAGAGAGCCCTGAGGCCCCCTAACATTTCGAAATCTGATAAAGGAGAAAAATTCAAGAAGCACAAAGTGATGGGTGAGGGAAGTAGAAAATCACATCAGTCTAGTGTCTTGGAAGCAGAGAGAAAAATGTTTCAGGCGGGAGTGATCACTAGTCATGCTACTGTAAAGTCAAGTAAAATACAGAGAACTGACCACTAGTTTTGGCAAAAGCAATGTGCTCATCTCATAATTAAGTGGAAATTTCCCAATGAATTCTATTATTACCAGCAACTTTGAAGAATAAGAGGAATTCTTTGGGAGTGTATATAAAAAGGGGAATTAATTTAAAGGGAAATATTTTGCTGTTATGAATTTAAAAATAAACAGAAACATTCATTATAAAATTTTTATTCTACTGCATTGTCATTTAAAATGACAAGAATTTAAGCAAATACCATCCAGTGTCAGAAGATATTCAGGGTGGTCATCTGCAGTATTTAGTGGCAAATTAATGGCAGCAGGTTCAATTTTTTAAAAATCATGTTTCATTTAAGTAACAGTTAAGATAAGCTTTGTCTCTGTATATAAACGTCCATTTGGCTTATACAATCCCATTTTCTCCAACTGGAAGCTGTGTAGGATCCAGTCCGACTTTCTTCATTGATACGGCGATATCAAACAAATAGTCATAACACTCACACCTATGAAAGAAAAAGCAAAAAGGACTTAAGGTCGATAGAGAAACAGAGTTATCCAAACCTAATCATCACACGTCTCCTCTCCATAAGTTAACCCTGTTCTTAGCTGGGTTAGAAATTTTTCTCAGTTTCAAGCTACATTTTTATTATTTTGCCCCCACCATTGTTAAAACATGGAAAGGGTTAATCTTGAACCATGCAACCATATTATATAATTCTCAGGATATAAAAGGGAATTTTAAATATACCACTTACATAAATTTAAGTTTGTTACTATGTGCCACTTTTTGAAATAAATGTAGCAAACCATTATATAACTTGGATTTGTTCTGTTCTCCCTTCCAGCCTTAAACTCCAAGAACAAGATCTGACTCCTTTTTTGTATCAAAGTGCATAGTGCCTTTCCAAATAATAGTACATCCAATAAATATTCCTTATTAAATGAATACACAATGCAAATCAAATATCTAGAAATGATAAAAAAATATTTAAATTTAAATCAATTTGACCAATAACACATAAAAAAAAATCACACTTCATTTGAAATCTTAAGACATAGTTTGTTCTCTTTCACATTTAGAGTGTGGTGACTTGAACCAAATGTTCTTTGATTTATGCTTACATGGTTTTAGCCTTCTCCCACGTTTCTCCCCAGACATAGACTCCATGACGTCTGACCAGTACCGCAGAGGAGTCTGGGTATTCATTCATTGCACGAGCCATTCGTTCTTTGAGGTCCTTCTCCTCAGGTGTATTCTCGATAATGGGTACCACCAACATATCATCGTATCTACAGGATGAAACAAGCCATTTTTCCCCCCATTAAAACAAAAGTATTCATATGTTAAATTTACAGTTTTTCAAGCAACCAGTTAGACATCCTCTTTGTATCTGGAAAGCCACTCCAAGTTATGAACAAGATGCTGCATGTTAATTCTTTGTATCTTGCACAAACATCTGTATCAAAAGATGCCTTGGGAATTTAGCAGGCATTATTCCAATCCCAAGACTAAGTGGCAGAAATTTGTATAGGTTACCAAAATCTAACAAAAAAAATTATCAAGATCATACAAGTATTTCCTTGTAGCAGAGGCAATCAAAAAATATTCAACAGGAAATGGGAAATGATAGATTTCAGAATCAGAACTGAAGGAGGGATTAACAATTGAACTACTTACGAAATAGGAATTTTTCAATGATATAAAACATTTTACTTAACTCTGTAGGACCCAAAGTGTCTCAGACCAACAAATACAGGTGTGGTCTGTGGCACTGGGCTAGCAAGAAACTTCTGGAGTGCACTATCAAAGGTCTGATACCATTTCAGAACACTCTTAAGAACTTCATTTATTCCACCTTGTTTAATTAAGTACATACATGTAATGAAATCAGAATGTGTGTTTCTTTCTATTCATGTAATAACATTTAAGCAAATAACTTAATTACTGTAAAGTTTAAGTCTATCCCTGAGGTCATTTATAACCAGTCGAAACTCAGACATGTTTCCTTTTTACATGAATTTCTCTTGCCTTGGTAATATAACATCTGCTTTTTCACTTCCTCCGTAATGGCTAAACTTAATCAAAAAGCTATGCTACAGCATTAACAGAAATTGCTACGTTAGGGCAGGTACAGGCTAAATAGCTGTCATGTGTAACTTGGCCAACCATTATTATTAACAGTATGGAGTTGCTCGTTACTTCGTTTAAGTAAAGTAGACGTAGTTATAAAATATCCTTCAATATGGAAAGAATGAATCGCTAGTCCCAAATCTTTCCTAATATTAGCCAGGAAAACCACAAGCTTACATTTTCCTCTAGCATATACTGAATAGTCAGACATATTTTCAGGGGCAAAATTATTTCACAGCAAAAGAAGACCTGAAAGCTAATTCAAACCAGGCCACCCACTTTAAAGCTGGAACACAAATCCTTACCAGTTAAACGAGGGACAGAGCAAGGCTAGTCCATGATCACCAAACTGTGTTCTTTCCACTCTACCATATACATGCATTTCCTTCCAAAAGGAAGGGCAATTAATTTAAACTAGAGGCCCGGTGCACGAAATTCCTGCACTGGGGGTGGGTGTCCCTCAGCCCAGCCTGCACCCTCTCCAATCTGAGACCCCTTGGGAGATGTCCAACTGCTGGTTAGGTTCTATCTCTATGGGATCAGGCCTAAACTGGCAGTCGGACATCCCTCTCACAAGCTGCCGTGGAAGCAGGAGAGGCTCCCACCACTGCCGCTGCACTTGCCAGCTGTGAGCCCAGCTTCTGGCTGAGCGGCGCTCCCCCTGTGGGAGCGCACTGACCACCACGGGGAAGCTCCTGCGTTGAGCGGGATCAGGCCAAAAATGGCTCTCCAACATCCCCCAAGGGGTTCCGGATTGCCAGAGGGTGCAGGCCAGGCCAAGGGACCCCACCGGTGCATGATTGGGGCCAGGGAGGGATGCAGGAGGTTGGCCAGCTGGGGAGGAACTGCGGGAGGGCTCCAGGGCATGTCCGGCCCACCTCGCTTAGTCCCGATCAGCTGAACCCCAACAGCAAGCTAACTTACCAGTCGGAGTGTCTGCCCCCTGGTGGTCAGTGCACCTCATAGTGAGCAGTTGAGCAGCCTTAGCATTTCATTAGCATATTACGCTTTAATTGGTTGAACGGACAACTGGACGCTTAGCATATAAGGCTTTTATTATATAGAATATAGTAATCTCCTCTGATAAGAGCTGGATATGTGAAATTTTTTTTCTCAAGATGGACTTTAAAAAATAGAGTAGAGAATATCAGAATCCTCCTTTCTTTCTTCATCCATGTTCCTTTGCTCCTTCTTTGGAAAACTGGACTCTCAGGATTTTCTACAAACTCTGATAAACTATCACTCCCCCTTGAGCTGCAATAATGACTATGTTACTGATTTCCCAGCCAGGCTTAAATAAAATCACAAAGGACGTCTCAAAAACAATTGTATTCTTTAAATTCTGAAACATTCACAAGAACATACTAAATGTGTATGTTACAATACATAAGACATGGCATCTTTTAACAAAACTCATGTCTGTTTTTTTCTCTCACAGAATTCAAAAGCTCTCTCTTGTGCTCTGTTCCTCTACCCACCCTTTCAGGTTCTTTTATTTTTATTCCTTCACCAAAGCAACCAAATACTGATGAAATTGATATCACACATAATGCCTATCCTTCAAGACCCAGATATGGAAAAGGCAGCTATACTTTCTTTAGTATGTATACTTTCATAATATAAATATTTAACTTTTGTAAATAGGTATTTCATGGTGCTGAGGAATGCTTTAGGCACACAATAAATATTAACTACAATCAAATCAAATTAATTTCTCAGCACACTAGTTTAAACATGTACTTTCTATTACATGCAGCAACAATAAGATATTGCTGTAAGGACATTCTATAAAAACTGGCACCCTTTCCCCTAAACAAGGCCCTTTAGGAAATGAAGACTCAGGAGTAAGGATGCCGATACATTCAAATAAAATGCTGAGCTTGTACCCAAGCCCCAAGAACATGTTTCCTCATGTCACTATATTCTAGATGTATGAATAACTACTACATTTTTTGTGGGCTAGTGAATTTATATGATTTTATCTAGGCCTTTGTTCTATACTATCTATGCCACTTTCCAGACTGAAAAATTATGAAAATATGGAGATCTACTTAATGGAAATAATTATAAAACTTTTATAAATATGAACATACTAGAGGCTCAGTGCACAAAATTCCTGCACTCAGGGGGGGTTCCCCTCAGCCCAGCCTGCGCCCAGTCTGGGAGCCTTGGGGGATGTCCAACTGATGGCTTAGGTGGAGTGGGCCTAAGCCATCAGTCGGACATCCTTAGTGCTGCCACAGAGGTGGGAGAAGCTCCCGCCACCACTGCTGTACTCGCCAGCTGTGATCCCAGCTTCTGGCTGAGTGGCGTTCCCCGAGGGAGTGCACTGACCACCAGGAGGCAGCTCCTGCATTGAGCATCTGACCCCTGGTGGTCAGTGTGTGTCATAGCAACCAGTCATTCCACCATAGGGCCAAAACTGGCTCTCCAACATCCCCTGAGGGGTTCCAGATTGTGAGGGGGCACAGGCCAATCCAAGGACCCCACCGGTACACAATCGGGGCCGGGGAAGGACGTGGGATGTTGGCCAGCCTGGGACGGACCGTGGGAGGGTTCCAGGGCGTGTCTGGCCTGTCTCGCTCAGTCCGGATCAGCCGAACCCAGCAGCAAGCTAACCTACTGGTTGGAGTGTCTGCCCCCTGGTGGTCAGTGCATGTCATAGCGAGCAGTTGAACGGTCTTAACATATCATTAGCACAGGGGTCCTCAAACTACGGCCCGCGGGCCACATGCAAATACAAATATTGTATTTGTTCCCGTTTTGTTTTTTTACTTCAAAATAAGATATGTGCAGTGTGCATAGGAATTTGTTCATAGTTTTTTTTTAAACTATAGTCCGGCCCTCCAACGGTCTGAGGGACAGTGAACTGGCCCCCTGTTTAAAAAGTTTGAGGACCCCTGCATTAGCATATTACACTTTGATTTGTTGAACGGCCAACTGGATGACTGGACACTTAGCATATTAGGCTTTTATTATATAGGATTCTAGAAATACGAAATCAAATAAAAACAAAGTGAAAACTTTAGCGGGGGCTGAAACTTCCTGCAGACATAGTGAAGGTGGGGATACCTTGCTCTCTGGGTGCTTCAGTGTAGGGACATAATCCTTCCATCTCAACAGAAGTCTCAGCCAAGGTCTTGTCATTTTGCTCTGACAATCATTTCATTATTCATGTTGCTAATCATTTACCAAGGCTGCAGTGAAAGGGGTTGGGGGAGGCATCTGATCTGTGTCACTAAGAAGAGATCTGGAAGTATAATATCAAGTGGGGTATTACTGAACACAGATTCTACAACATCTCATTAAATGCATTAAAAAATCAGTAGCCTGTTTATAAAAAAAAAAAAGGAAAAATGCCTTTCAAATTTTTTAAGCAAAAGTAGAAAAGAAAATACCTATAATACCCTCCCGAGGTACACTTCCTTATTCCTTTTATCATCTCTTGATGTGTAATTTTAAACTCCCGTCCTGGAAAGAGAAGAGTGGCCATGACCGCGGCTTTAGAGTGGGTGTGAATCACTGCGCCTGCTCCTGGGAGGAAAGAAAAGTCACATGTGAGGTGAAAACTAAATTATACCTTAAAATTAAGAAAAAATAGACACATGCACACACACACACATGCGTGCAAACGCACGTTTATATATGCACTTGTTGTTCTAGGTATGGAATAAGTTGGCAGCAGGTAGTAAGGTAGGAGGGAGGGAGGAAAATAGAAATACTAATAGAGGAGTCAGAAAGCAAAAAAAAAATTACACTTTCCCCAGCCTCAGAACAATTCCTTATACTTTACATGTGCCCATGAACTATCTCTTAGATGGTCTGAAGTGCAGCTATAATGATCATGGAGATCACAATACTACTATCACCTACTTAGGACTTCCTATGTGCCAGGCACCTACTTAGGGATCCCCTTTTTATGTTATCTCTCCGCATCATCACAATCACCATAGAGGTCACCATTTAATGGTCAGTGGAAACTTGGAGAAGTTAAAAAACGTGCCCATGGTTCACGGACAGTAGTGACAGCACTTGAATTTGAACCCAGGTCCACCTGACCCCTGATCACCAAGTTAGGCCTCATAGCACAGGACATACTTTGGTAGCATAAGGGATGATTTTAAGGCGTAGATGTCATGAATTTACGTACAAAGGACTTGTATGCTATAAAAGTCAGTAAGTTTATTTAGGGAAAGCTTTTATGCTGGGAAAGCTTCATGCTGTGAGAAGCTGCTCCTTCAGTTCTATCCTTTCAGTCAGAGCTGACAATGTTCAGGAACAGAAGAGCAAGGTGACTTACGCAATGTTGATTTCATTAAAGCAAAGTTCTATGTGACTTTACTGCTGTGGCTGAGCCAGTACTTCAGTTATAATTTCCTATTTTCACAATGTCCTCTAGGTTCAACCTTTATAGGCTGTTTTCTACCACAATTTTGGGGAATTAAAATAAGACTCCTATTTTTATCACACAGTACATTTTTCAAAAGGAGATTTACTTCTACTATAAGTTCCCGGAGGTATAACTCCAACCTGAGAGTGGGAACCTGATTGCAAACATAATCTTTAGTCAACTTGACAATCTACTAGAGTCCCACAGATCTAGGTTGGAATTCTGGACCCAAAATGCTCACTAGCTGTTTGTTTTGGAAAAATCTTCCCAGAGCCTCTGTCTTCTCATCAGTAAAATGGACTAATAATAGATCTTCCACATAGGCTAATTCGAGGACTGAAGGGGTTAACACATTGAAAGCTTGGGTATGTAGTAGGTACCCAAGAAATGTTAACTGCAGTAATAATTGGCATTATTTAGGGGAGCCTACTCTGGAAATATTCTTTATATCAAATACATTTCTGCCTACCTCTCATAGTGTAAGCGTTCATAAAAAGAGGAGTACACTGGCTTTTCCTTAGATTCTTATATGGTGGAGGTCCGCTTATGTCACGTTCATTGATGTCACAAACAAACATGTCTTCAGGCTATTTACAGAGAGCAAAAAAGAAAAAAGTTTACACAATATCATCAGAAATGTCCCCTTTCTTATGTATACAGGGGCGGGGGAAAGTAGATTTATAGTTGTGAATATGAAAAAGAGTTTATTCTTGTATTATTATTTATTAATTATTGTACTATCTTTGTATTATAAATGTAAACCTACTTTTGCTCATTCCTGTATATAGTATACACTCACATGCAGAGTGATATAATTACACATATTCAACTCATATTTTAAATATCCATATAATTGTAATTTCTCTCAAAAATTTTACCCATTTTGAGAATAAAAAATATTTTACAGTAATGAAAATATTCTAAAGAAAGCTAAAAAGAAAAAAATCTCCCTTTAAAATCCGAAGAAGAAACTGATATGGAATATTTAACATGTATGCAATGATGTTGCTGTCATTTCATCAATTTAGGTTCTCAATTTAGCCCTGTAATTTCACAACTATATTTCAGAGAGACTATATAAAGAAACCATTATCCTAAGATGGGTGTTATAATTTCATAATATAAAAAGAAGAATACTACAGAGTAAAATTTTCTTATTCCAAGATGCTTAATAGCCACTCTCAGATGTTAATCTCAATAAGGTATATTATTCTGAAAGTTCTAAGGAATTATGTAGGGCCACAGACATTTCCTAGTAATATGTGCATATTTCTGACTTGTAACTTTCATTTTCCAGGTGTATTACAAACTACAAACTACAGGGTTTGTTACAAATGTTTTATTAATGAAGCATTATGCCACAGACAGATGTTAAGTATTATATGGTTGTTTTAAATAGATTTTAGGTATTATTCTAGCATTAATACAAATGAGTCTTCTCCAAATTTTTAAATAAGTTTTACGACTTTAAATTGGAATAGCTTTGCCATCATTAAATAGAAATCAGCTTCATACATTTGAGACCATCAATCTGATTATCCTACTAGCCTGATAAAGATGGTGTTATAATGCTACAATGTTAGAATCCCTTTTTATTATATGACTTAAGATTGTGCTATTCACTTTTGCCCTCTAGAGGTTGAATGAGGATTCAAACCATACTGATTGCATGGAGGACACCTAGGACCTTAAAAAAAATTAATGGTTATTCAACAAATGTTTGTTGATTAGTTATTTAAATTATCATCATATTACCACCTTTCAAAACTAACATTTCCTTTATAACTAATTCCATTTCACAAAACAATAGTTAAGTAGAGAAGAAAAGACGTCTGGGTTTAAAAAGAACCCTTTGCCATACCTGAATCCGTTCCTTTTGCACTCCTGAAGGAGCAATGTAGATTTCATTGCTGGTAACACAAAATATAGAAATTGGTATTTAATTAACTCTATTGCTCTGCTTTTGCACAAAGAAAAACGTATCCTTGCAGTCCAATCATTAATGGTCTGCATAAATGAAGTCATACAAGTAGCAGCTTGATTTAATTAATGGTATAGGCCATATAGAAAGAATACCAAATACTTTAATGCTTTTGTAATGCTGGCGACAGTGTAAAATGTTGATAGTTGCCTTGGTCTTCTATATTTTTTATGTATATTTCTTTCCATGGGGCAAAATCATTGGTAATCAGGCTTTTATCTGGGTTGGAGAAATACAATCTGAAAACACAAGTCTTAATTGTGAATCTTGAAGCATGAATGAGCAGAGTTTATCCTAGCATATGTGGAATGCAGTTATTCTAAAATCCAGTCAGGGGAGAACATGCTCACTAGGAGATGTCCCTCTGGCACGCTCTTATTAGAAAACATGAAGCTCAGAGACCTCTGCTGGACAGTTTGTTAAATTACAGTTTATTAAACTGCAGCATTAATAGGGCTACTTTTGGGGTGGAACAGTATGCTTCCTGTTTGAAAAACACATCTACCTTATGAAAATATTTGGAAATAAAAGCTAAAACAAGTGCAAAAATTACAAGTGTAAAAGGCATGGCCACATCTGGAGATAGCTCTGTTCTAGGATGTTGTGTTATACCCTTTCTTTCACAAGGTGCTCTCAAATTTGATTTGGAAATTAATTTCAAAGTCTTCTCTAAATTCTCTCCCCCACTCAAGAAAGATCCTTTGGCTCATTTATCAGTTTCAGTGGCTTCCAGAGGGTATCAGAGCGGCCAGACATGCAAGCGAAGGAAACACATGCATGCTCTAGCTTTTGCCCCTGAAGCATGGACACTGAATAAATACTGTTTCATAGTGAAAATGAGGACGACAGCCTCTATTGAATCCAGCTGTCAAAGCTGGGGTCACTAGTAAACTATAGACTCGGAACTGATGAAGATGTAAGGAAATGAAAGGTTTTTTTAATGGCCCACTGGTAAATTAAGGTCTAGCAAATAAAGGCCTGGCCTGATCATGGCAGTGAAATCCAAAGCACAGTAAGCAACATTCAAACATCTGTTTTCACCAAGTAGCTAGTGCTTTAGAGCTTCATTGCATAAGAAAACCATAGAGTGCCATTCCTCTAGAGCAGCGGTCACCAACCTTTTGGACCTCGAGGACCACTGGGACCAGCGGTTGGCGGTTGGCGACCGCTGTTCCAAAGGTTTCCTTAAACTAGCGGTAGCCAACCTTCCGGACCTCATGGACCACCAGTGGTCTGCGGACCACCGGTTGGCGACCACTGCTCTAGAGCAGGGGTGGGGAACGTCCAGCCCGCGGGCCTTAGAGAGCCCGGGAAATAATTTGGTCTGGCCCTGCCAAGGCATTAGGGGTGAGTTAATTAAAGGTTTGACCAAGTATAGTAGGCTAGTTTTTCAGTAGATAATTTTGTATGGCCTGCAAATGATGTCATATAGGCTAGTTTTTAAGTAGATAATTTTGTATGGCCTGCAAATGATGTCATAAATATCCAAATGGCCCTTGGCAGAAGAAAGGCCCCCCCCATCCCTGCTGTAGAACTAGCGGGAGTGGGCAGGGGGTGACAGTTAAATGGGGCCCTTTACAACTACCAGGGATCCAAATATTTTGTCCTGTGTCACATGGAAGAAACTCTAGAATCATGCGTGGTATGGAGTCCAATGACCCCCCAGTGGGAAGTGGACTGGCAGGTCTTCTTATGTGGGAGAAACTTAGGCAGTCCTGGGAACAGAGCCAAGTAAAGTACAAAACAGTCTGCTGGTAAATAAAACCCATCCACAAAGTAGGAAAACCCAGGGTATTTATCCTGTTTATTCAAGTGATTTGGTACGCCAAACCTGTTTTTAGTACTGCCTTTGTAAAATGGAAATTAGTTTAGACTTTGGTCAACATTGTTCATTAAAAGATTAGGTAAATAGGTTTTAGAAAAAAATATTTTTACACCTACAAAGGAGATATCTGGATAAAAATGCAAAGATGACAGAGCTTTTATCTTAGGAGGGAAATATGCCAAAGACTAAAAGTGAAGTATTTACTTGGTGCTGTAAGCCACAAACAAAAAGCATTTTAAATTTCAAGGTATTAAGTTTTGGAATTTACTTCTCTAAACTCCCTGCTCTTTCTTAAGTGTAAAGCAGACAGACAAAACTCAAGAGTCCATACTACATCTATTTTTATTTACTGTCTAGTCATTTGAATCTTACTATGCCTTAATTATCTTGTCTATATATGGGTTTATTAACTTTAAGTCTAATCGCATGCAACAGGATTAGTATCTCTTGACATATAATATTACAGCCGTGAAAACAGGAAATGCTAAATGTGAATGGTAGGACCCGACCTAAACACAATGGCTTCTGAGTATCTTAGGATTACCTTGCTCACTGTCATTTTCTTGGTCCTCCATTTCCTCCTTCTGATTTAATTCTTATATGTGTCTTAAGCCCTTTTACATACATCTTTTGGTATTACACATCAGTAGCATAATCTGGAATAGTATCAGCCAAACCTTGGAATCAGTAAATAATTTTATATTCCTAAAGAGCTTATTGTTAGTATTTTTGTAGAAACATAATCTATTGGTTGTGTATTTCATTCCTAAGCATCAGACAAAGAAAACCAAACTTTCCCTAATAACATGAGAATAATATTGCTGACAAAGTAGTTGATGTGGGCTTCTGAAGTCATTTAAGTATCAGGAAAAAATGGAATATTTTTAGTACAAATTACTTATTTTACTATGTAAGGCACAAATTTAATAAGATTCCAAATACAGGGCCAGAAAATTGTGGCTGTTTCCACTTATGAACCCCAGGAGGAGCTCCTCAGCCATTAAGAATCTAAGACAAATTTTCACATGACGCAACTTTCCTACAAATGGACTGTAGTGCTATAAAAGCCACTGAATGTTTAAAAGATGTGAGTATTTTAGGGTGACCACACAACTCAGTATATGGATTAGTAAAATTCTTCTAGGAAGAACATAGTCTTTTATGTCTATACTAGAGGCCCGGTGCACAGATTCGTGCACTGGTGGGGTCCTTTGGCCTGGCCTGTGCCATCTCGCAATCTGGGACCCCTTGGGGGATGTCGGAGGCCCAGTGCACGGATTCAGCCCAATCCCCGCAGGCCAGGCCAAGGGACCCCACCGGTGCACGAATCCGTGCACCAGGCCTCTAGTATGCATATAAGATCTTTGGTTAATCTCTTCCTGCCTTCCCCCTTCCCTCTTCCCTCTGAGATTCATCAGTCTGTTCCATGTTTCCATGCCTATGAGTTGAGTGTCTGCCCCCTGGTGGTCAGTGTGCGTCATAGCTACCGGTTGAATGGTCGCTTAGGCTTTTTTATATATATAGGTATACATTTTTAAAACCCTCTTTAGATTTGCAATGACCCTTTATCTGCATTTTATTTTTAACTTTTCTTTCTTTTTTCTAAAGAGCCGGTTAAAAATGGTTATTTTAGCTCAGTTTGGTAGAAAGCTCTATTTTGTTCTATGCCCAGGAACAAATATTACCATAAACACAAACTACTTCTGCATATACAAATAAAAAGTAGTTAACTAAGGGCAATGCTTAGAATAATACAGCTGAGAAACCAGTGCTAGGACTCAACTCCTAAATGCATGAAATAACAACAAATGTTGTTTTCATAGGACTTTGCTAGAATCAGGTCATCTCAAAAGTTTTGGCAAAAGAACCCAAAAGCCTGCCCAATGCTGACTTGACACATTGGTACTGGGTTCATGGTAAGGAAAGAGGCATAGATGAATGTTCGATGCACCACACGGAATGTGACCTTCCTGGACCGAGTGCGTCCCCTACACACATAACTGTTGACAGTGGTTGACTAAGACCCCTGCTGTTACTTCCCACACTTCAATTACTATTTCATGAGTTCCTCGGTAATTTGAATCAGATGAAATTACAATGGCATCATCTCATCTTGCAGTGTGCCATAAAATCCCTTTTGTTCCAAATGTCTTGACTACATTTTACATCTCATTTCTTTCACACAATGCAGCCTCCTAGTAATGCTATATATACTCAATATCATATAAATGTTGTAGTAATCCAATTTTGTTAAAGTAAGTGAATTATGGTAAAAAAATAAATCAAGTTACTCAGTTTAACATTCAGCCTCCAGACAATAATATTCTTAACCATTACAGGAGAAAAAACACTTGAGAGAATGAGATTCCTTAACCTCTCTTTTCATTGTCAGTAAGTTGCTTATTTCTTCATCCTCTTGGAGGAAAGACACTGAATAATCGAATTAAGTATTAAATACTATTCATTCCTCCTGTTTCTAGTTCAGAACCTCTTGTTTTGTCCTGAGCCTCATGGACCATCAGGTGCTACCTCCATTAATAATGATACATGTGCTTGGAAAGGCATATTGCCTTTCTTTTGACTCAGTAACATGTAATTTTCAGGATTTCGAGTTAGTAATCTGTATTTAAGTGGCTTTAAAATATGTATCTGGACCTTTAAGACACATCCTGTCTACCCTGGCAATTCCAGACATAGGAACATACCTGGCAGCATGGCATTTACCGTTGGTACTCCAAAGACCGAGGACCAGATTATTCTGGTTAGAAACTGTGTTCCCAAATCCTTAGGTATTTATTATATTGCAACTTGGGCATACTTGTTCCACTCTGTTACGCAAATATCTACTTCTCCAAGTGGAAATGAAATACCTTCAATGTCACATAAAACTGCACCAGTTGTTCTTTGGACATTGTATGTGCGTTAGGCTCCCCATGGTCTACTTCTACGAGGAATTCCTAGACATGAAATCAGCCGAAAACTTACCCATGCTTCAAGCTAATTCCTCCTCCAGTCCCAGTGACCCAGCCCAAATGGTAAAACTGTTTGCACAGCTCTGGGATCAGGTATCTTGGGTGTTCCTTGTCCTTAAAAAGAGGAACATGATTTTTTAAATAGACATTATTTTATCAAGTGACTATTATAGCTGGTATCTCTATTAATAAGCCAATTTAAGGAAGTTTAAGAAAAATCTACCACAGAGAAGGTACTATCAGAGAGAAAACTATTATAAAACATGCTTTGTTTTTAGTTTTCAGAAAGTGGATCTATTATATTATTTGGAATTATTCAGAATAAGGCCTACAGTCCATTACTGAAACAGGCTGCAAGAACAAAGTGGGGAAATGTCCAGTATACAGTATATTACGAAGTGTCTATTGAGATGGCTGAAATAAAAGAAAATCTAGTGTTGAAAGGAACATGCTTGTCATCTAGCGAAGTTCTTTACACAAAGCAATTCAGGAAGGCCCTATATATAGGATATACTATAACAGCTATATGTTCATATTCTGTGTGTTGGTTCAATTTTTTCTATTGACTATATTATTTTCTCTTAGTATAAAAACAATATATACTCATTATGAAATATAAAGTCAAGAAAATAACACAGAAACCATTTACTCAGAAACAATCACATTTCTATGAAGATAGGTGTGCTCAGGAAAATATGTATGTTCAGTTGGGATGACTGAGCCTTATTTATTTTTATTGAGGTATAACTGATATACAACACATTAGTTTCCAGTGTACAACATAATTATTTGGTATTTCTATATACTGTGAAATAATCAGCACAATAAGTCTAGTTAAAATAAGAGCCTTATTTTTATATAAGTCTAATAATTGCTTTGTTAGGGAAAAGCAGACCCATGTTTCCCCCTCTTTTTAAAAGTTAAAATTAATGAAAACAAAAATAAAGAAATACAATGAATTCCATTTTTGGCAGCATGATATATAGCAGTGATGGCAAACCTATGACACACATGTCAGAGGTGACATGCGAACTCATTTTTTTGGTTGATTTTTCTTTGTTAAATGGCATTTAAATATATAAAATAAATATCAAAAATATAAGTCTTTGTTTTACTATGGTTGCAAATATCAAAAAATTTCTATATGTGACACGGCTTCAGAGTTAAGTTAGGGTTTTTCAAAATGCTGACACGCCGAGCTCAAAAGGTTCGCCATCACTGATATACAGCCTTAACTTTGAAAACAACTAAAATGCTGCATAAATTATTTTTTAAAATATTTCAAAATAAATTGTTGAGCTGTCAAAAAAGTAAGGTCTCATACTAGTAGAGGCCATAAAAGAAATGAGAATGCCCTGGCTGGTGTGGCTCAGTTGGTTGGGCAATGTCCTGTGCACTGAGAGGTCACCATTTCGATTCCTGGTCAGGACCCTTGCCCAGGTTGCGGGCTTGATCCCCAGTAGGGGCGATAGATGCAGGAGGAAGCCAATCAATGTTTCTTCTCTCTCTCTCAAATCAATAAAAAAAATATTAAAAAAAAAGAAAAGAAAGAAATAACAGTAAGTCTACCTGGAAGGAAAGTGAATTCCAAAGCCATTATTTCCCTGAAGGTATTTGCAGAACTCTGGTGACCTTGAGCTTCAATTTTGATAGCTAAGCAAACTGCTAGAAACACAGATAAAACCTAGGGCATGCCCAAAATACGGCATCTAATAGAAAATTGCTATATACACGAGAGACTCCAAGGGGTTATTCCCTCTATCTAAAATAGACCCACTGAGCAGAAAAGCACAGCTAGGAAGCTTGCCTACAAAATCTTGGTACTGGGTAAAAAGGATGAAAACATCTTTGAATCCAAATTATTGTTGAAAGACTGAATTTTCAGCTACTTAACTGGATTTCTGAAATCATGGTAGTTTTTCAAACTCACCTTTTAATATTAGACATACACAGTTTATTTTAGGTAAGTATTATAAACTAGAGGCCCGGTACACGAAAATTCATGCACTGGGTGGGGGGGGGGGAGGTCCTTAAGGCCTGTGCCCTCTCACAGTCCAGGAGCCCTCAGGGGACATACTTAGCGCTGCCACTGAGGCTGGAGAAGCTCCCACCACCACTGCTCTGCTTACCAGCCATGAGCCCGGCTTCTGGCTGAGTGGCGCTCCCCCTGTGGTCAGTGCGTGTCATAGCAATCAGTCGTTATGATGTTTGGTCAATTTGCATATTAGCCTTTTATTATATAGGATGATAATTTGATGGAATAGATTCAAAATATAAAATTAAGAACATGGGTATACTGACATTCTTTTAAGTTCTGATCCAACATATGTCTTAGGAGTGAATGGACATACATTCAAATCCACATTACATAATTTTATGCTTACATGACTTTGAGTTTCAGTTTACTGATCCATAAAACGAGAACATTATGAGAGTTAAAATGAGATCAAATGAATATAAAGCGCCCAGCACAATGTGTGACACAGTCAATGCTAGTTTCCTTCCCATTTTAATGAGTTAAAAATTCTTGAATTAAAATTAATAGTCAAGCTATGTTGGTTTTTTACATCTGTCCTTACTAAATCTAGCCAAGTTATCCATACCCTGTATAATTTGCTATTTCCTTTTTTAGAGATACAAATGTTATTTTAATTATATAGTAAAGTACAGCTAATGAGAAGACTCCTGTAGTTTTCCAATCCTTAGAACCACCCATTTTCACAGCAAGTTACAAACATTATAGAAAATGGTCTGTTATTAAGGGTCTCCCTTTGCCCTTTTGTCTTTTCCAGTACTGAGGTATTATAGCAATTAGCCAGCTTCGTTCTACAGGAATAACAATGAGAAGGCAGCTGTTGTTAATGCAATTTCATTCAATCGTTCAAACCCACAAAATTACAATTTCAAGAAGAATAAGCACTTAGCAGGGGGAACCAACAGAGACATATTTGGTAAAAATGCAATCATTTAAGTTGTCCAAAGTAAAAATCAGAATATATATTTTTAACAAGAATTGACAGGAAGGAAAGATTTCATATTTAGTTTTCCCCTGAATGTCAATGACATAACTTGTCTATTATTGTTACATCTGGTTTTCAAGTAGAATAAGAATTTAGAAGAACATATCTTAAGATGGATTACAATCAACTGCTTAGAGTAGAGGTCCTACTCTAAGCGAGGGAGGAACATTTACCAGTATACAGTGTTTTGTATATATTAAAGACATTAAAGTCTAAGGTTTCTGAATCAGTATTTTATTTTTCCAATTTTTCAATCTAGCTTTTTAAGGAAATCAGCCTCAATTGTCACTGAGATACCTGACAGCCAACCATGGCTCTGATCCCTTCCTCTACTTTTTGTTTCAATCTCAGCATAGTAGAGGCTTGGATTGCTCAGACAGGTTTTCTTGGGGACTCTAATACAAATGTAAAATAAACCTGTGTTAAGGATATTATTTAACTCATCAATTAATGAGGGAACCAGAAAGATGTCACAACTGCTACCACAATTCAACTTTCATCTCTATGAACAATAATCATCTGCATTGCTGTCAGTAATCTACAATTCAGAGTTGTAAAATAGCTCAAAGATGGCCCCAAGTCAGCTAGCGATCTCCTTTGCTCATTTCAGTCTTTCACAATTTTTCCTGACACTGGCCTCAGGAAGGGACTGGATGCAGACAGAGCAAAACTGTCAGCATTGTTTGTCTCTGGTTTTTGCTGCTTTCTGCACATCTGTTTCATTGTCCTCTATGTGCATATTGGTTTTCTTTGCAACTTCACCTCCACTCAAAGCCCTTTGCCACACTTAAAAACTCTTCTTCACATTAGACAAGCCCTAACTAGAAATCAGAAGACCCTAAGGCAAGTCAGTGACCCTTTCTGTGTATCAGTTTCCTTATATTAATAATCTGGACCAGTGATTCTCAGACTAGTGAAGTTCAAGATCAGTAGTTGTATTTTTAAATTTTAGGGACTGACATAAGGTTGCCAAGTGATAGCATTAATTATACTTAACAATTACTATCACCTTCTTTCAAAAATAAAGTACATTTTTTTAAATGTATTTTTATTGATTTCAGGGAGGAAGGGAGAGGGAGAGATAGAAACGTCAATGATGAGAGAGAATCATTGATAGGCTGCCTCCTGCACGTCCCCTACTCCGGGATTGGGCCCGCAAACCGGCATGTGCCCTTGACCGGAATCAAACCTGGGACCCTCCAGTCCACAGGCAGGCGCTCTATCCACTGAGCCAAACCAGTGGGGGTAATAAAGTACATTTTTAACATAAGAAAAGTAGGAAGGATAATCTCAGAATGAAAGCTAATCCTTGAAATGAAATGCAATTAATTTTGTGAACTTCACTCTTTCATTGTCCTTATTTTTATTTTGCAGTAGTCGAGTAAAAATTCTTTCAGAGACTGATATTTGGGGAGGATTAAGATTATCTTTTCCTATTTGGTCTCCTTGCCTACAATTTCTCCTTCTCCAGCTTACCCTTCACTCTATTAGTACTAAAATAATAAACTATTTTGATCATTGAACTCCGCTCCTTACATCATCTAATGGCAAAACACCACCTTTTTAGTCTAAGTCCTTCTGCTTTCTTGCCCTAATTTAACTTTTCAAATACTTTCACTTTTTTTACATAAATCTCCCAGTTCTATTCAACCTAGCTGTGGATGTCAACCATCAGGAAGGCTCTTAAAGACCCCCTGGGGTTCACACCATGGTATATAGTTCATCTCCTACACTGTACCAGGGTTGGTCTGTATGCCCAACAGACTACTGCCGAACGGTACTATATCACTTGGGATTAGGCTATAAGACTATAGCTTCCATCTTGGTTGTCCTCTCTCCTTCAGTTCACTTGGTGCTCGAGATACTCAGACAGCCTATGCAGAAGGCCACGTGGTGAAGAACTGAGACCTGTGGTCAAAAATCAGTGAGGAACAGAGGCCTGCCAACAACTACATGAGGGGCTTGGAAACTCACTCTAGCTGAAGTCAAGTCTTGACATCAATTGTAGCTCAAGCTGACAGGTTGGCTGCCAACTCATGACAAACCCTGAGCCAGAACCTCAAACTAAACTCTCCTGGATTCCTAAGCCTCAGAAACTGGAACACCCAATGTTTGTGTTTTAAGCTTAAGTTCTGGGATACTTGTTATGCAGCAATAGGTAACTAAAACATTTTCTTGCCAGCCAAGAATACTTTGTCTTTGCACTGTTATTGCTTATGCTGGATCTCTAATAATCCCAGCTCTAGCTGCCAGATTCCTGCTTGTCAGACTTTACACCAGGCCCCCTACCCACTTCACCTATATTCCTTCTCTCATGGTAGCAAGGATCACTCCTTCCTTGGACTCTGTGACACAGCAGTTGCTCTATGTACCTTTCTTTTGGTATTAATTATGGAGCCCTCTTATTCATTCATTCATTCTCAGCAACTTTTACTGAAGGCCCCAAAGAAATGAATAAGAGGAAAATAAAATTCTTACCCTTGAGGAACTCACAATCTGATAAAGCTGTTAACAGTTATGAAGTGACAATGCAACAGACAATACAAGCTGGTCCTGGGCATTGCGGGAGCTGAAAGCTCTGAGTGGGAGGGAGCGGTAGTTAGGAAAAGCTTCATACAGGAGGGGATGGGTGTGCTAAGTCTTAATGGACTGGGAATAAGCTGGGTCGGTAAAGAGGAGAAAGGGCATTTCAGTCAGAGAGAACTCCAGTAGTTGGAACTGGTTATAAATTAGGTTCTGTGGAATGGAGGGGAGAGGGAGGCAGATGCACAGGAGTTTGGACTTTATGTTATAGGTACTTGAAAACCACTGAGCAGTTTTAGATAGAGGACATGACCAGATCTTGGGTTGGCAACATTTCTACAGTGGCAGTGAAGCACAGTGACCTCCATCTTGTATAAAAACTGCTGTTTGAAATTCTCTGCTATTGTTAGATAGTCCCTTGTTCTGTAAACTCTGTCATTTTTAGACAGTCTCTTATTCTATGAAATAACTGTTTTAGTTTGAATAACAGAAAAAGATAAAAACTTAACTGTCTGACCTTGCAAGCTAGCCATCTAACGTAATGGACTAATACTGATAATAATTCCCATGTTCGTATGCCAAATGTTTGTCCTTTATGTATCCAAGATTACCAACTATCTAACAATAACTCACACAGAGCTCTTTGTAAAATCTGCAGCAAAGAAGCAAAGATATAAATGCAGGAAACTTTCTGTGTGACTTCGCTCAGAGGTTTGGAAGAAACACCTCCCTCTGGGCCGAGCACAATAAACGACTCCTAATTAGTTGGCTCATTAAGGCGTCTTGTATCTCACTCGCTGATTTACGATACAACAGCAGTGGAAAGAAGAGGATGAAGGTGGTGACCAAGGAAGCAAGAGACCAGACCAGTAAGGAGGCTGTGGGAAGAGTTTGTAAAGGAAATTGCAAGGAAGTGATGGTGGAGATGGACTTGGAAGGTATTTAGAAATTAAAAAGAAAGGATTAACTTTGGGTGAGGAAACTGAAGAAAACTCAAGGTCATCTGTGAAACAGGCTTGGGGCAGAGGATGAGGCTAGATGGTGAGGTTTGGGGGTAGCTACTTAGGGCAGTGATGGCGAACCTATGACGTGTGTGTCAGAGGTGACACACAAACTCATTTTTTTGGTTGATTTTTCTTTGTTAAATGGCATTTTAATATATTGTGGACGAAAGGGGCCACATGCTGACCTGACAAGCTCAGGAAAGGCCTGCATGGCAGTTTTGCAGACTCGGAGACCTAAAATAACCACAAAGGATGGTCTGAAATTAAACTTTTACTAAAAGCAGTTATGGTGGGCAGTTACGTCCTAGGCCAGTATCTTCACTGATAAGGTCAACTGAGCCCATCTGTCTTTTTGCATCTATGATAACATATCCTTGGGATGTCTGGGTAACTTGTGACTTCCCTTTTTATGGAGCCCCTGGGGCACAGCCAGGTGTGCTGGGCCCAGGACAGATACCACAAGTTCCTTCATCATCATGTTAATTGTTCCTGCACCCACCTAAGTATGAGTCCATCATTTTACTTTTTATCCTATCCCAGAGGTTTCCCCGCTTCGCTTAATCCCACCTCCTTAATCTATCACCAATGAATTTCACGTAACCCACCTATGTTCCTCCTTTGATTGGAATGTATAAATACGGATGTAACCCCGCCATTCTCTGGAGCACTATCTCAATTCCTTGAGGTTCAGCTTCCCGGCATATGTCGACAGTTTGGCTCAAATAAACTCACAAAAATTCTTTACAGGTTTCAATGGTTTTTTTAGTTAACATTAAGTACATAATTAAATTTGGTTATTAATCTGTCTCATGCAGATTTAATTATTAGACCAGCCAAGAGAACTTTGAGTGGTAGAGAAAAGTTTCTCTCTCTCTCCTCCCCATAGATCAATAAAGGATTATTTTTAAATAAGAAAAAACAGTAGAGATTGGCCACAACTGCCCTCTGCATTGATATTCATATGTATACATACACATTCTCACATGGAAACTTGATTAATCACTATGCTTTAATTATGTTCAATTTGTAACAATGAAATTGGGGGTCACCACAACATGAGGAACTGTATTAAAGGGTCACGGCACTAGGAAGGTTGAGAACCACTAACTTAGTAAACTGAGGCAGGAAAACGGCTCAGAGGGAAGGTTCTGGCTACTGAGGTACAGCTCCGGTCCAGGCGAAGGTTCCCCAAGTGCTAGGGCCTAGGGCGTGCTTTGCAAACGTCCGGCTGGTCGCCATGGCGCACAGGGACGCTGGAGAGCTCAGTCTTTGCTCCAGTTCACTTCAGGGCTGCAAGTTTCCTCGACTGGCCTGACTTCCTGATGATAATGATAAGCTGCTTTGAAACACACACTGAAGACTCTCCGTTATTTTTCCTTTTCTTAACGTTTGGTGCCCAGCTCCCGCTGTAGGACACAGCCCAACCACGGGAGCGGCGCGAGCCTGCAGGTCGCTCTGTGGAGCATGGGTGGCAGCGCGCGGAGGTCG